CTGCTATTGAATTTGAATGCATTCATCATTAACATTGTTAGCCAATTGTTTCTATAAAGGAGGAGTAATGCTGCAATATTTCAGACTGAACCTTCATATTGAAAAGAAGTAGGAGTTTTTGGCCTCGGCTAAAAGTGTAGAGGAATGGTAGTTTTGCTTTTATCTTTGAGAATAATGAACTCCTCCCTCCTATTCATTGAGCAATTTTTAGCTTTCTGCAGTTATTTCCATTGAAAAGGGTGAGGCAAGTTTCCAGAACCCTCCACCTAATGCTATGATTGTTTGATAAACAGACTTCACAGGTGATCGAAGGATTGTTGAATGCTATCCAGGTGAATAATCTCACTACAAGTTAATCCCTTTCATAAAATTGAATTGGGTAAATGATCGTGATACTTGAATGCTATATTAAGTGTATTGCTTAAATCTTGTAATGCCAAGGAATTGAATTGCATCTACAAATGCATATAAGAAATTGCCCACCGATTAAATTCTTGTTGTTAAGTTGTGGACATCAGTTGGTAATGCAAATTGCCCACCAATAATGTTGATTAAATAAAGGAAAGGGTTCGGGCGCAATAAGATATTGTATTCTGCGATAGTATGTATTGAAAGTTAAGAATATTTGGAAGTTAAGAAGTGGATCATTAGCATGTACCTTCTATAACCCCATATGATTTAGCTTCTAAATATGACTTGCAGCTTGTTTTTGCCATTTTCCTCTGAAGACTTGCTGAAATGCTGTGTTTCATTTGCAGGTAAACTCTACAATATGCAAAATTGAGGAGCTTATGTAACTTCATAAAGGTCCGTGAAATATTCTTTCTGAATTTTTTTTTCACAATTAATTTGTTTGATGATTGACACAAAATGAATATCCACTTTGTTCGGAGTGTAGGACAGAAATTGTCTGTGCAGTTGCAAAATTATAATTATAAAGAATACCGTTAGTCTCTAGGAATTTTTTTAAGTTGAAAAAAGTTCTTCCGCTTAATGGCTTCACGGAATTTTTTTTTTCAAAGACAAGTATCATAAGTTCTTTGAATCCAAACATTCATCCTTTTCCATTATTTAGTGCCTTTGTGTTGTTTTGTTAACTACCACTGACAGGTAGCCTTCACAGCATATAATGCATGTTTCCTTTGTTCTTCTTCTGGTGGGTAAATGATTTGGTATTTTACCATTCTTTCTTTTTTGGCCTGGAGTTTTATGGCTAAAATATATAGCTTATGTAATTTGGTTAGTCTTTATGTTGTAGGATTTTGCTTCTAGCGAGTTCTTAGTCTGCTGTAGTTTGCAGTGTAGGATTCAGAGTAGGATTACTTCCTCAGGCAAATTAAATTGAAGATGACTTATTCCCTTTTGGTTCATTCAAAAAAAATAAAAATAAATCTGCTTTTGAATTTTAATGCATTCATCATTAACATTGTTAGCCAATTGTTTCTATAAAGGAGGAGTAATGCAGCAATATTTCAGACTGAACCTTCATATTGAAAAGAAGTAGGAATTTTTTTCCTCAACTAAAAGTGTCGAGGAATGGTAGTTTCTCTTTTATCCTTGAGAATAATGAACTCTTCCCTCCTATTCATTGAGCAAATTTTAGCTTTCTGCAGTTATTTCCATTGAAAAGGGTGATGCAAGTTTCCAGTATCCTCCACCTGATTGGAACGAAGATCCATGTTTACCTTGTAAGTATTTCTGAAGGAAGATCGGGGCCTAGAGTGATGCAGTGAAGCACTTCCGCCCTAAAGCTACTTCCATATTTGGAGTGAGCCATTTTTATTTGAAGCATTTTAGACAATAATGCCATTTGCGCTTATGCAAAATGGAACACTTTCAATATTGTAACTGGAAAACAATCTTCCAAAATTTGGGTATCTTTGTATTCGTGTATCTTCATGAATTCATATTCTTGTGGCTATGTCATAGTTGTTGAGCTTGGGATGACTCTACAAGCAATGCATCTGGAAGTAGTACTGTTCCTTGCTTACATAGCTAATTGCCAATTAATTAGTAATGTTGCACAGCTCAACCTCTTATTCTTAGAAACTTTAGAGTTCTATCTTGCTACATGAAATGAGACCATCATGATATCTATATAATAAATCGAAATGCTTTTGACAGATAACAAGAATCTCTGCAAGTTCAATCCAGAAATTGCTCTGAGAAAGCTGCGAGGGATGAGGCTTATATTTGTTGGGAAATTCTTGCAGAGAGGACAATGGAGTCGTTTGTTGCAGAGGTGTATTGCTCCGAATATCCAATAAAGAGTGGTAGTTATACAAGTTACGGTGGTCGGAGATGGTGGAGTGTTGAGGCAAGGCCGGAGATATGTACAACAACTGATTATGCTTTTGATCTTGATTTAGAATGTGCAGCAGCATACTGCATTGAGAGGGTCTTTCTTTTCGTGGAGTATATAGAAACGGTTTTGGGTGTGTCTTTTAAGTTCAACTACGTAACAAAGCAATAAAAACTAGGGGGATACAAAAACAGAATAGGATTATGATAAGGAGGAAACTCAAACAAGAGTTGTAGCTTTATTTTTTGTAGTTTGCTATTGTAGTGCTTTTATTTTGTCAGATACAATTGACGAGTTTCTTTAATAAGGTACAACATTGTTGCCTCTTGCATTTTGTTTTTCAAGAATTCCGTAGTTCTACTTCATTTTGATAGAATTTTTTCATTTGAGTTATTTTCAGAGAAATCATGTATAATCAAATACAAAGCAAATTGTTGTAAATGAAGCATATTTTACTTTAAAAAATTCAAGAAACCTTTTGTTTATTTAGAATAAAGAATCACTCAGTTCATGCTGTATGCAGTATCTATAAAGCCCGTAGGAGTAAGTTTTAAATATCACACAAACATGCCTGAGCTATGATTTGTCAATGTTTTATCACTTTAATGCATGCTGGCATCCAAAGCATGCAAAACTGAAAGCAAATGTCTCATGAAACTGAAAAATCTTACACGAATTAAATATGCACTATCCAAGTTATAAAACATCAGCATCAAACTCCAGAAACTAATAGAGCAAAATGTCAGCTGAGTTCATTTTTTAAGTAAGAGCTCAGGATTCCTTTCCTTAATAACTGATTTTTAGAGCAGCATTTAGTATTTTTTTTTTTCTGCAGACTTTAGTGAAAGAACTAAAGAAAAATTTGGATGAGCATCTGTGGAAGCAGATTGAAAGTATGAGAAAATACAATGTAAAAGCCAAGGTCATATTCAAAATACATTTTTCATCAAACCACAAATCCAATTCGTGAGCCATCAGAACTGTTATAAACTAGGATGAACAAAGAATAGCTTCATGTAAGGAATTTAAGAAAAGAAGTTCAAACTTCAGGAGGAAAATGCTCCCTAAAATAGAACATCAGAACTGAAGTTCATAAATTTCAAATTCTCTATCAAGTTCAAATCTAATTTTTGGGCAATCTATAGCTCCAGTTTACAATCCGTAATTCTGTAGTAAACTCCAATAAACATAGAGAGTATTCACCAAAAGAAGTCTCACAAAACAGTTCAAGAAAGGAGAGAAACGATTCTCTGAAAACAGCACCGTAGGAGAGATTTTCAGAAAGTGGTTATCATGTTCAAATCAAGTTTTTGGTCAAACTACGAATGCGTTTTACAATACGTAAACAATGCATTAAACTACACTAAATGAAGAAGATTATCATAAAAGCAAATTCTGGAAAATAGTTCTAAAGCTATAAGAAATAGACCCTTCAATAGAAGGAGCCCAATTTGATTTTCTGTATTTTCAGCAAGCAACCAGTGAACTCATCTTGTTTTGATCAAATTTTGAACGATCCGTAAAGCCGTGTAGCAAACCATAAAAGTCAAAACAGACCTAAGTATCCCGGATAGAGTTTGATTGAAAGATATGTACAAGGACCATAAAACATGATAATCGGCACCTCACAGCTTCCACAGTTGCTTAAAACATGAAAACGGCAGTGGCATGCATTATCAGGGACAACAAGGGAAGATTTTTGAAAGCCTTTCAAGAGAGAATAGGCTATTGCCTAGTTTAAAGGGCTGAACTAAAAGAAATTCTAGAGAGCATGAGAATTGCTAAGCAGTTAGGTCACTCAAAAGTAATTTTTGAGTCTGACTCACTGGTAGCTGTGGAAGGGATCCGGAGCATGGTTGCAGAAGCTAGGGAGAATTCATGGCTAAACGAGATCCAACAGATCCTTGTCTCAGAAAAGGAATTCAGGTTTTAGTGTAGAAGAAGGACGCTTGCTTAGTGAAAGAGTCCCTAATAGCATTAGCATATTCTTGCAAGACGATGCTTGAAGCATTTTGGATGTAAATTAGTCGCCTGTTTGAAGTAATTTGTTCACCAAAGAAAAAAAAAGGCAACTGGAAAGTGGCAGACAACTTTTCCGAAAGTTAAGTAAAATGGTTTTTGATGTGTCAATTTTAACAAATAATTTTTAAATATTTTTATCCGGTAAACAACCTGCTTAACAGGTTTTACTTAATTTTTTAAAAAATTTATTTTAATAAAATTTATTTTGAGATATGTTAGCATGTTACTCACCACATGAATAAATTTTGTACCCTCAATTCTGATTGGTTAAAAAAATACGGGACGGTTCCGTATAAATGAACTACAGGACTCTAGAAAATCCCATATATATATATATATATATATATATATATATATATATGAGACAATGTGTCTAATACAGGCAGTCTAATTGGCTGGTGCAACGTGTCCACAAATGACTGAGAACCCAGAAAAAACGGAGCCAAAATCTGGGATTCCCCATATAGTATATAGTTAGATATATATATATATTATAGATAGACTATTCTTTTATTTTTATATTTTTATAAATGTCCCATCATGCTCTAATATTTTGAATTTAAAAACCACCCATTTCGATCTTAAAAAAAGAAAAATTATTACATTTTTTAGTCGAGTTCGGGTAAAATAGAATATGATTTCATTTTTTTCCTAATGATGACCCCACTGTTCCATACACAAATCTTTAATTTAGGGGGTAAACTTGTAAAAAGAAAAATTTAGGGGTCCAAATGACGACCCCACTGTTCCATATACGAATCTGGGTAAAATTGTAAAAAGAAAAATTAAAATTTTCAAAATTACAATTAAAAGTGAGAAACCTCCTACAACCCTACGCTGTACTCTGATTTCTTTTCCTCCTCCGTTCTCCTCCGCCTTCCGCCTCCGCCAACCGCCAATCTTCTATTATGTCGGCAGTATCCAGAGGTCTCATCTCTCGTATCCATCTTTTGGGTACCAGGAGGCTGTTCAGTAGTTCTTCCACAGCAGAGATATACCATGAGAATGGATTGACCCAACGAATCGTAGAAGCAAAGACCCGGGTGATGACCCCAAGCTCCAAGCGAACTGGGGCAATAGCCTTCAAATGTGGAATGACTGCTTTATGGGACAAATGGGGTGCTCGGATTCCCATCACCGTTCTCTCAATGGATGATAACATCGTTACCCAAGTCAAAACCCCTGAAAAGGAAGGCATCGTTGCTCTCCAGGTGGGCTAAAATTTCCCATTCATTCTGCCAATTTGTTCAATAAATTCTGGCTTAGCATGATTTATGATCTGTCCTTCAAGCTTTTTGTTTTTTTGGTTCATTGGATTTCCGGATTTGAACTTAGATTCAATGAAACCACAATAAAAAAAATAGGAATATGATCTCATCTTTTGCCTAAAATCGAGCTATGACAATGAGTGAATACGCACTGTGAATGATCCCCTGAATAGAAGAGTTTGTGTAGTAAAATAATCCTTTTCTTCTATAAGGTTGGTTGTGGGCACAAGAAGGAGAAGCATTTGACAAAACCTGAGGTGGGACATTTTAGAGCACAAGGTGTCCCCTTGAAGCGGAAGTTGAGGGAATTCCCCGTCACTGAGGACGCTTTACTCCCTGTTGGTACGTCCATTGGTGTTCGCCATTTCCTTCCTGGACAGTTTGTTGATGTCACTGGGATTAGTAGAGGTAAAGGGTTTCAGGTGAGGGATCATTCTTTCAATTCGATTATAAAAAGGTTGTGCTTAATTAATATTCATTTTGATGTATTTGCTGCCCAGTTCCCTTTTCGCTGTGACATACTGCCTTTGTGGTATCAATTTATGCTTCAACTTTTCCTTCGTGCTAAGTCTGCTCTGCTGTGGCTTTTTGAACAATCCTAGTAGGGCAGGCCAGTTCTCCAATACTCATCTACAAAGTTGTGAGTAATGACTCTTTAGCATGAAATGTTGAACTCTTCTGGTTGTTTGATGCGTAATCAGTTGAATTGAATGCGGAACATGGAGTTCATTTTCTAAGTTGCGGTTTTAATACGACATAGTTTCTTTCTGTATGTATAGGGTTGTATCAAAAGACATAACTTTAAAGGTTTGCCAGCTTCTCATGGTCATTCTAAATCACATCGAAGCGGTGGTTCTACTGGTCAAAGGGATGCCCCTGGAAAGGTATTTTTTCTTGCTTTGAATTTTCTTTTTGTTAACCAGCGTTATCCATTGCCTAGGACAATCGGTCTTGATGTTTTCCGTACCTCTAGCAAACTAGTTTTGCAGTCCTATAAGTCAGTGACTTTTTAACTTCTTAAATAACTCAAGTTGCTTGAACGCTCTTAGCACCGGACTCTGATGGCTGGTTGATTGAGTTGCTGAAAGGGCTAGTTTTAATGGTTCATGACATGTTATGTGTAACTCCTTATATAAGAAATTCTATGATTGCTGGTACTGGATAAGGAACAAAGCTGCGGACTTCTTTGTTGGTTGAATCCCCTTGTTGGTTTTTATGGCATGTGTTCATTAAAAGTGCTAAAAACTGCCTAGTTTTACCTATGATAGCTGGTTTCTGAAGTCATTTCCCTTTTTTCCTTGTATTGCTGGAAACGTTCTAGTTCTACTGGTTCACCCTTTAAATTCACCGTAGTAAAACAGTATCAACTGTAATCAAACTTTTCACATACTACACAACGTATAAACTTTAAGACTCAAAAGTGTGCTACCCTTGTGGATAGAAAATTGCATGCCAAAGTAGAAATCTAATAAGCATGTATTTCTTGGGAGAATCATTTTCGTTACCCCCTACTCTTGCAGGTGTTTAAGGGTAAAAAAATGGCTGGACGCATGGGAGGAAAGCAAGTAACCGTAAAAAATATCTGGGTTTACAAAGTTGACCCTGCAAGAAATTTGATTTGGGTGAAAGGCCAGGTTGATTCAAGTTTTTCTTTCTATCTTCCTTTCTTCTTGAAGTTATTCTATGCAAAATAATTCATTGGGTTGAAACTGATGAAGATACTTATGAATTCTTTCATGCGAAATCTTTTGTGCACAAAATTTAGCTGCAATTCAGTATCGTGCTTTGAATCATAACTGACAACTTTGCTAATATCTCCATCACGCGGAGTTTATGTAGTGACGAATGAAGGAACCTTGTTTTTTCACAGCTGCTTTTACACTTCAAGCTAATTCCATTCTTTTTACATCCTCGTATTGTAATTGGGGCAAGGGCTTCCTTCCTCCTGATGATAATTAATACTTGCTCATTCCTTGTCAGGTGCCGGGTGCCACAGGAAACTTTGTGTTTATAAAAGATTCTGTATTCAAGAAACCAGATAGAACATTGCTTCCTTTCCCAACATATTTTGCACCGGAAGATGAAGATTTATCTGAATTGGAACCTCTGGTAGCTGACCTTGGTGATACAGATCCCTTTATGGCTGCAGACTAATGGTGCATGTGAAAGTTCATAATCCGTCAACATAATAGGATCTTACTGATTCTCACAGTTCTGTAGCAATGTACTGGTTTTGGGAAATGAGGGGAAACCACCATGGAAGTAGCTTCATTTCCGAAGATTAAGAACAGCTGCAATTGGATCTGTTTCTTGATCGGTGTGATTAGTATTTTGGATGTTTGCAGCATTTGTTTAGAAGTTCAAATTTATCATGAATTCCCTTTAACCTTAGTTTTCTGCTGAGGGGTGGCAAATGATGGTGCTAACCTGGAACAGGAGTATTTTGCCTGTTTCTTAGTTGTTTGGCAAGTGTTTTTTTTTTGGGCAAAACTCAGTATTGGTCCCCAAAGTTTGGGGGTAACTCAGGTCAGTCACTATAAAGTTTTCTTCGACGATTTTAGTCCCCAAGTTTAAGTTTATTCAATCGCGATGTGTATTTGACGGAAAATTCATTAACTTTAACGGTGAATTAGAAAATCTATCAACTATTCAATATTTTATTAATATTTCATCAATAGTGGGACCCACTAATATTTCTATTTATTTATTTTATTTATTTTTTTGAGTTTTTCCTCCAATGCCCAAACCACCACTGATGGCTCGCCTTTTCCTCTTCCTCTCACACTACCGTAGGCACCACCACCACCGCCCACTAGTTCATCTTCATAAAAAATTTCAATGATACTTTTCACTAGCAAACCATCATATTTGATGTAGAAGTATAACAAAATGATCACAAAATTCTCTATGCAGTAGCTATTACTGTTTCTTTTATGGATATTGCTACCATGGGGAATCAACATGGTAGGAAAATTCTGCAGATTGGTGATGATCTTGGCTGGAATCGAAGAAAAAATCAGACAAGTCAAATCTCCTTAATACCAAACAACTCAAATTGCGTTACCAAAGTTCAATCTCTAACTATAAAAGTCACACATCAATGTCCTTATTCATGGACCCAACTAAGCCCACCCAAATTCTTCACATCTTTTTGAACGATTCCAAAGGTAGAAAATCCAATCAAAAGAAATTGAATTTTAAGAAAGAAAAAAAAATCCATTAATTTATACACATCAGAATCACGACGAATCCGAACTAAATGATTCCTCAACCATTTCACCAGTTGCCTCCATCTTTCTTTTTTCCCCTTAGTATTCCATGAAGAAGAAAGAGAACCCAAATTAATGAATTATTATTCTTTTTCCTGCTCCGATATTAAGATGTGAAGAATTCAAATTGACAGCAATAAATTTGTAGCCAAAAAAGGAAATCAATTTGTGAAAAGAACTATGGCTTTATGGTGGATTCTTAGAGACGTTCCTGCTTGAAATCATGAAACAAGAGGATTTTGCAAATCGGATGGAAATTGTGTGTGGATAATGAGAGATGAATTAAAAAGGAAGAAATGAAGAAGGTGGGAGGGGAGGATGAACAACTGGGTGGTGATGGTGGTATCGGCGGCAGGGTGGGGGGGGGAAGATGAAAGGGAAGGTTTTTTTTTTCTTTGACTTATTTATTTTGGGTTTCTCTTTTTTCTTAACAATTAAAAACAAGTAAAAAATCATGGGACCCACATCAGTAAAAAAATTCATGAAATATTGAACAATTAACGGATTTTGGTCATTCACCGTTAAGTTAATGTATTCTCCCGTCAAATGGACCATAGTGTTGAATAAAAAATGGTGACTTAAACCGTTGAAGAAAAATTTTTGATGACTCACCTGAGATACCCCTAAACTTTGGGGACTAATGCTGAGTTTTGCCCTTTTTTGGGGGTCCCCCCCCTCCCCCCCAAAACTGTATACATGAATGTGACTATTATCTAAAACATTAGGGCTTTGTAAGGTGGAATCTAAATATTTCAATAAGAGAAAATTCTTTGTGAGTGTGTGACTAATTTTTTGGACAAACTACATTTTATCCCCCGAGTTTTGACTCTTTAACCAAATACCCCTCGAGTTTTGGTGTTATTACATTTTCCCCCTTTAACTGGGTGAAACGTTAAGTCAACGTCGGAAAATTATGAAATGACAAAAAAGCCTTCGGTTAGACCACCTAATTAAATAAAAATATTTTAAAAAAGATAATATAAGAAGACTATATTATCCCTATCTTCCACCCAACCAAACTACTGTTATTTTTTTCCGGCCACTATATTTTACCGACACAAACTATCCTGTTTTCTCCTTTCTAATGCCATGTTGGTCTTTATTGTCCTCTTTATTATTTCTCTATTTTGAGATAAGAAAACCTAATTCCACCATCATCTAAACTAATTTTTAACCGCAACACATCATAATTGAGTCAAAAAATCAAAGAAATTATAGAACTTCATAAAGTAAAAGAAATTTAAAGCCGGCCCTCTCAGCCCGAAGGCCTATGTCGATCTACTACTGTTACTGATATTTTAGCTAGCTGTGATGCCATCCCTTGATTAATTGTTAAAAGAGATGAGAAGAACGGGGCAGAATGGATTCGATCATTCGAATATAATTGAAACTCAACTAGTGATTTTCGTTTTGGCAAAACTATGCTGGTGTTTTATTTTTCAATCCAAATTTGTAAAGCAGCGACTGACGTATGCAACGAGCAAGTTTGGAAGTGGTGGCTATGAATATATTTCATGTGCAGAGGAGATTATGGTTGGATGGTGGAAAGAGGGATGTGGATTTGTAGGCGACAGCATGTGGTGGGGGAGGGGAGGATGAAAGGGGGCATATTATTTGGATGGTGATGAAGAACGTCATGAGGATGGGAACTGCATTTGGCCTTTGGATTTTTTTTTTTTTTGGCTGTTAAAAATATGAGGCTTATTTTTTTATTTTTTTAAACAAGAGCTTATAGCTAGGTATTTTTGTCAGTTCATGCTAAAAGTTGGATGATGTCAGCTACTGACATCATTCTCTGGTGAGAACGTGTTCAAACGGTTAGAAAGATCAAAGATCAGTGAGATATTTGTAATATGATAAAAACTCGAGGGGGATTTTGTTAAAGGGCTAAAACTCGGGGTGTAAAATGTAGTTCGCCCTAATTTTTTTTTTTCGTTTCTTCTTTTTTGAGAACCCAAATTGGCAAACACCATCATTAACTAACAATAACATCATATACAAAGTGCTAAGAGATATGTGTAACACAGTTTGTGCACCAACTCTAGTAAAACTCAGAGATTGTAAATTTGTAATTGTGCTTGATTGACTGGGCTTCTTGCTGTCTTCAATCATGGATCTATTGTAACAGAGATTCTCTGAATGTTTCTCATTTTCGTATTCTATACACAACTAAAACAGGTAAAAGTTAGAAATTTGAGGGTATTGCAATATCCTTATTAAGACCCAAGTTTGAGAAAATTTCTGATACTAATGGAAGAAATCTAAAAATTAATTTTATTACATTTTCCAAGTAAGCATCACGAAGATGATCTTATATTTGAGGAAAAAAATATTTTTCTTCCCCATTCTAGTTACTAGGTGTTGAACCCGTCCGATGGACGGGACAGAAAAGAACATAGGGATAACAATTTTTCGAGAATTAGAAAGCAAATTTTGATAACATTAAAAACAAATTGAATAATTATAGATGTTGCAGTGTTTTTGTATGCAATGTTGGTTTTCTTGTTACTCGTCTCTCTGGTTTTTATGCAAATCAAAATTTATGTCTTTTTTTGTGATGTAACTCTGGATAGAATAAATATATAACTAACCTTGTCTGAAAATCAGACGTTGCAAATACAACCCAACTGGAAAAAATGATTGTTCTCTTGTTAATTGTCATTGCAAAAGAAATGAATATTGAAAGATTGTTATCTCTTCATTTGAATGGAAATTTCGTTTCGGAGAGGCAGAAAGACATGCAAGTATTGTATATGTCTTTTCCAATGTAATTGTCTGAGACTTTTGCTTTAATAACACGTTGTCAGATCTTAAGATACGAAACTTAATACCGGTGCATAATCCACCCGGAAAACTTTCCAAAACATAAGGGCCGCAAAGATTTCATTGTCCAGACCTTATACATACGGAATCTACAACCGTCACATATGTGTAATTGAATGCTGTGAAAAAAAGTCCCAAAACATAAAGGCCGCAAAACTTTTTTCCCGTCCCTCTGCATGGAAGGAAAAACGACTTCCAGTACAAATCACTTCCTAAGAATAAAAGAAATAAGTAAAATAATCAAATTACAACGTATTAAGCCAATTAATCAAAATTCAAACGGCATTTGGCTCTGTGGGAGGCCAGTTACAACTTTCCTACAAATATTTCTTTTTTCGGACATTTTTATGGCAAAAATAAGAACGAAATAAAAAAATATTTAAAATAATATTAACAGCTGGAAATTTCAGCAGGTCATATAATTCTTCTTAATTTATTATTTTCTTGACTAAAGCACGGTTACTTTCATATATATATATATATATATATATATATATATAATGGTCAAGCAAACAGTGTTACATTTTTAGATAGCAACCTAGCTACCTGATTGATGTTATCTACCTCATTTCTACTAACCTTAACTACTTTACAATCGATAAACTTACTTTTAAGACTAAGAACATCTTTACTAATATCTCTAATCTCTAAAGGCAGCATATCTTACTTTCCTTCAAGCTCTAGTAGTAAATTGCAATTTGTACACCCTGCATACTTGCACCTTCAACTCCAAAGCTTCTTGCAATGCGTACATAATGCCAAGGGCTTCCGACTGCTCCGCAGAAATGGATGCAAATGTGATGCCATTTTCTTTGATTTTTCCCTGTCGAAGTCAAAATTTCCCAAGCAGCAGCCCCATGACAACCATTACTTTCATATGACCCATCTACATATATCAGATGTGTTCCTAACTCTAACATATCATTATCGACCATATTGAACATATGACAACTATCACCATGCCTAGCTCATGAGGGTTGCTGCTGCATACTTAGATAGAAATCATGTGCCTCCTTAGCACGATCCCAAGTTACCACTGGATCTTCTTTGTGATTGTCCCGAACTGCTTTGTTTCGTGCTGTCCAAATGCTTCCCATGACTTTTTTTTTGAAAATTCACAATGTAGAAACAAATATTGTGTTATTTCAACTTCATCTTCACATCTGCTGCATAAACGGGAACCATCACGTACCCCTCTTCTCATAAAACTCTGTGTTCACAATAAAACGCCACAAAAGCCATTGAATCCGAGTTGGAGTCTTAGTTTTCCAAAAAATCACATGAGGTGGGCAAAGTGTTTGAAAATGGGAAAAAAATGGGGAAAAAATTAAATTATTCAAATGGGAAAAAAATTACATTGCACTTCTCTTTCCCAATTTTTTTTTTTTAAAAATCCCATTCCACACCAAAATTCTTTCAACGTTGCAAGCCCCACTCGAAACTTGCTTAGCAAAGTTTTTTGTGTAAGAAGCTGTCAGCACCCTCCCATCAACTTTTGTCCATGGAGTTCTCATCCAAGTTTTGAAATTGGAAATCTGGAATTGGAAAGTTGAAACTCCAATCCAAGTTAATTTTTCCTTGTTTCGTGTATGGTTAGCTAGCATACAGAAGCATCTATATAACACGATGCACAAAAAACACACGTCATCTATGAAAAAAATCCCTCCATCCTAAAATTATGATACAATTTAGATTTTTATTTTTAGTTCAATTTGTATTAAAATAAAAATTTAAACTGGACAATAATTTCAAGAAGAAAGGAGTAAGAAAGAATTGAAACATGTTTAATATTCCAAAATATTAGAAGCTGGGCATTATCATTGGCTTTCATAAAAAACAATTAGCCCACGAGATCAATGCATGATTTTCAGTCGAACCAAGCATTCACCACAGCCCCGATAATAGATTTGAAAAATTAAGATTTACAAATATTACAACTTAATGAGTAAAAACTACTACTAATTAATATTTTTTTAAACACGAATACTTCTGCTTGGATAGAAATGAAAAAGAAAAATATTTTAATATGCTTACGGGGGATTGAAAATTTCTCTCACTTTAAGATTAAATGAAAGAAACACAATGTTCTTGCAAGGGAGATAAATAAAATAGACCAGATAGTGTTCAACAGATTAACTAAACTTATAGGATCATTTTGCCTGAAAACCACATAAATGTATCGCAAAAATTTCAGGTTAATTAATTAATTATCTACGAAAAATGAGTGCAATGATCAGTTAAGTCAGCCTTTTACATCCAACTGAAGAACCCCTTTTTGGCCAATATAAGGGCAACTTGCTATTGCTGATAAGCTCCAATCATAGATTAAATCCCTACAATACACGTACAATCCTAAACACATCTTAGTACGTGGAAGATGTGATCATATGCACATCCTCTTTTTGATAAAACAAAAACCACCCTAAAATGTCCTTTTGCCGAAACAAATCACGGATGCAACCGTTTTCTCGAAGTCAGCATCCCCTAAAAAGTTGTACCAGGAAGAAAAAAACAGAATAATATTGATTTGTAAAAATTAGAAAAACATACAAAACAATATAAGATTTGTCCACAGAAAAATTATTGCTAATTGACCAAAGTGAGAAGCAAAAATATTCTGATAAAGACGTTCCTCAGTAATATCATCTATTCACACGAACCTGTGTGACGATGATAACAACTTCACAAAATTTTTCAACAGTTAAACAATTAATCACAATCCACAAAGCGTTTTATGTTTATTTTTGTGCTTAAGCCAATGGGACTAAGGGATTGATGGAAAAAAGAATTAGATAGGGAGAGAAGAAAAATAAGAAAAATAAAGGAGAACTCGTAAGTGAAGATTCACTTGTAATTTCTGGTTTGAAAATTTTTAACTATGGTTACATTACATCGGGTTGCTTTATTTAGTGTTTATTGAGAAATGATTTACACGTTGAAATCTCTAAAATATAGGGATTTAGACATTGTTACTTCTTTTGGTATCAATGTTAATCCCTCCATTTGTATTTTTTGCAGGAATAACGTGGATTCAATCCAACATAATTTCATTGATTGCAATTTCGCAAATCTGATTTGGACTCACTTCTCAGCTTTCTTCCAAGTGACAATACCACAGGGGTCAACAGTATGGCATATGCGGCAATCATGGTTTTCAATTGGAAGCTTCACCTCAGCCAGAAAGACGGCGATTATGGAAACTCCAATCTTCATTCTTTGGGAACTCTGGAAGGCTCGAAACAGTGCCATCTTGGATGGGAAACACTTCTCCGCTTCCCAAGTAAAACAGTTCGTAACAGATGATATCCGCAGCCTCCTTATGGTCCATCCCCTAGCACGATCTACTTTGGAAAAAACTTTCATGCTATCAAGTTTTTCCACTGTTTTTGTTGCTCTAAAGGAAAAAGTTATCAAAATGGTCCAGTGGGAGAAGCTGAAACAAAGTTCTTTTGCTCTAAACACATACGGTTCCGCCATTCTTGATGGAAATGCTTCTGGCTATGGCTTCACAATCGGAATCATCATGGATGTTTAATCTTCGGAGAGGCTGGCTTTATTGGCCAAGGAGACAGCATGTTAGCAGAAGTAAGCGGCCTCCTCTTTGGTTTAAGGAAATGCTGGTTACTGAATCTTAGAAATGTCGAGGTACAAACGGATAATCTATCTCTTGCTACACTTATACAATCCTATGGAGAACCCCCTTGGCGATACAAATCATACATCCAAGAAATTCAGTTCTTTGTTCACAGTCTGAATTACTCTCAACCATGTCTATCGTGAAGCTAATACAGTAGCTGATGAACTTGCTTGTATGGCCTCCTCTGGTACATCTCAACGCTTTCTGGATCTGAGAGATCTTCCTCAAACAGTGAGAGGCCTTATCGCTTTAGATCAAATGGATTTTCCATATATTAGAATTCGATGAATATCTTTGTACTATGTTTTCCCTTCCTCTGTAAACATATTTTTTAAGCATTAATAAATCGGGCTAGCCCCCTGCCAGGTTCCGTCCTGGTTTCAAAAAAAAATAAAAATAGGGATTTAGTTTGATTACAAAAAATAGAATAATAATTAATTTATCTTTATCTTTTTTTTATTTAATTTTCATTTAAACTCAAAAGTTCATGATTATCTTTTATGCTTTGCGTCCAATTCGGTCAGTAATAAGGTTGATTTGGTTATTATTAATTATTAATAGTTATTATAATTACTAAATTTTAAAATGAAAAAAAATATAGTAAATCCTATGTGTCAAGTAGAAAACAATCTTAATATACACAATTATTAAAAGAATTGAAATCATGATAAACATCAATCCCAGATTAAAAATTTTTAATCTGAACTTAGTCACCGGATGAAGATGAAAAGAAATCGGGGATGAAATCTTGAAGACTTTATGCTCTAAAATTGAAAAATCTTCCAACCAAATCAAAAGATTAAGATCAGGAGAAGATTTTTGGAGTGATAGTTTTGAGTTTTGATTGAAGGAATTGGGAATCTAGGGTAGAGAAAATTTTTTTAATTTTTTTTAATTAATAAAAAATTGATAAAATTACCAGTCCTACGTGGCGAGTGGAAAACTATTCCAGTTTTCTCTCTCTGGGTTTTTTGTTATCTATAGTACTTAATTAAAGTAGCAAACAAAAAGAACATGTGTCACCACCACAATAGAAATTTTTTCGCCAAAAGCCATTTTCAGTACAAAATCATTTTTGACAAGTGACACTCTAACTAATTAGAAAAAAAAATGGAATACATAAATACATAAATCCCTTAATTATAGCTATATAAAAATCTCTTAATTATAGGTATATACTAATCCCTTAAAACAACAATATTTAGTTGATAAAATCAAATGTAAGGAAATTCCCTTAAATCAAGTGAAACACCAGTAATGTCTTTCCAATCCCCAATTTCAAAGGATCTCTTCCATTTCGTTCCTCTCTCACACCTGGGCCTTTAAATCATTACTTAAAATCTGGCATCAATTATCAATCCATTTCTTTCTACAATAGAGAAAAAATAAGCTGTCATGAAAGAAATTGAATTTTTAAGGATGATTTTTTTTTATTCTTCTGTTGTAGATATTGGTTTATGATTTATGTAAACCCAGACATAAGTTAACTATTGTAAATTACATATTGTAAATCTGGGCATAGATTTATGTGTAATAACTCACTTCCTATCCTTTCAATTAATTTTTATTCTTTTAATTTTTTTTATTCTTTTAAAAATGATTCGTATTTTTTATTTAATCGATTTAAAAATACAGCCGGTACCGGACAGTCGCCCGGGCAAACATCTAGTTAAGTTATATAGATTAACAATATAAACATTTTTCTAAATTGGATAAGGTTCATCAATTCATCAATCACGGGACAAAATGAATGAAATACACATATTCACTTGGGAATTTTTTTTTTGGTTTACTATTGTCATTTTATTTTATTTAATTTTACAAGAAAAAGAAAGAAAGGGAAAAAAATAAAAAAACAAAAAAAAAAAAAAGCGAAAAGGCCTAAAACCCCTGGACGCCAAAGTCAGAAAGAAAAACCCCTTCCCCTCCGTTTCTGCTGTATTTGTACACACAGCTCTGCCGGCGAACATCTCTTCCCAAGTCTTCCGCCACCGCCACCGCCGTATCACCTTCATCAAGAGCTTGTTACAGTTACCGATCTCCTGCTCCCACCTTCCTCTTTCTGCAGTCTTCCGAAAGTCCAAAGCGAAGCTTGTACGCGCTCCGTCCCCGCTGCTCGGTAGTTTTTTTTTTTTTTTTTCTCCACTTCCGATTTACGAAATTTATTTACTTAAACTTGAGGCTTATCGATTCAGGTTTTGTCGCAGTTTGAAATGATGCCATTTGAGGCCGGCAGCCGAAATGGTTTCTATTTCCCCCCAATAAATATGCTTCTTGAACTTCGAAGATTTGAGGCATTTCTTAATGCTTTTATTTATTGCTTATGTCCAGGCTAGTTGTTGGAACATTGAAATGTTTTACACATGCGAACTTTGGTTCTTTGTTTTCTGTTTCTGGTAATTACTAAGAATGACACCAATGATGCTTCGAATTTCTATGTCCACTGCTTTGCCACATTTTCTCGTTTTCACCATTTCCTTGTGTTAAATTTTTTTTTGTTTTTTTGGCTCTGTTCTCTGTCTGAAAGTTTGGGTTGGTGTAATGTGAATTTCTGATATATAACCAGCATGTTTGAGTGCATGTGATTGGTGATCGGATTGAACCAAATACTCCTGTATTGGAAAAATGGATATTCGTGGATAATCCTAAACAGCAAAGATTAATATTTGGAGACCCTATTCTGGGATTCTGTTTATTGTCTTAGGCCTGTCCATGGCAGCTTTTTGGCCGATGCTTCTGTTTTCCAGAAAATTTGTCATTTGCCGCGATAACCATTGTACGAGATTGATTGGTTTCTGTTGTCATTGAGGCTTTTTAATTTTATAAAGCTTTACATTCACGGGTATGATAGTCTCTGCAGTTGTGTTTCTTGATACAATTTCTCTGGCATCATTTGGTTTGAGCATATGATTTGTTTGTTCAGATGGGGTGAAAAGTTGTATCAACCAACTCCATTGCAACTCGGTTTCTAGTTTTTTTATCCTAGCTAGTTCAATTTTCATACTGAAGTTCTACCCATTAAAAATTAAACACTCCACAAGACTGTTGCAAACGCCGTGCTTTGTTCTTTCCAGCTGTTGGGAACATAGAATACTACTCCCTATTTCATGCACACTCATCTGCTGGTGCTTTGTTCAATTTGCATGAGTAGATTATTATCGATACCGAGTTCTAATGACAAATATGCAAATTCCATATTGTGCAGGTTACAAGAAAAGGATTCTTGGCCGAAACTTGAAATGAGATCATTTAGAGCCTTGAGGGTTTTAAGCTCAACGATATCATTGAATTCTCAGAAATCCCGTTACAGGTCAGCTCTTGTGCAACGTTTTTACAGTGCAGAAACTCAGCCAGAACTTTCGAGCAGTAGTACCGAGGGGGAAGATGAGAATTCGTCATCAGTTTTTGATAGCTCGCATTTCGACAGTGATTCGGAGAAGGGTGGAAAAATGAGTAATCCTAATTGGGATGAGAAGCACCGGGATAGATTGCGTGAAGTCTTCGGGGAAGAGATTAAAAATCCAAGGATTGCGAGGAAGGAAGAGAAAAAGAATAATGCTGCTAGGCTTGCAATGTTTCTTCTTCATGCTGCGGTTCAGCAGGATGAGCATGAGGAGGAAGACGGTGGGAAGGAGAAGGAGGTCAAGCTGGAGGATCAGAAATCTTTGCATGTTGGAATTATTGGAGCGCCTAATGCTGGGAAGTCTGCTCTTACTAATTATATGGTGAGCCTTCTGCAAAAATAACGTGGTTTGTGAGGTTTGAATAATATATTTGAGCTAGATATTCCTAGTTTTTGCATAACTTGTGATTTAGGTGTCTCAATAGTTTTTTTAAGGTTAGATTATTATCATACAGAAGGGCTAAATGAGAAATGTTTCCCCCCTACTTTCCTCCTATCCTTTTTAGTTTGAAATACTAGAGATCGTTTTATTGGATCAAACATCGAATGGTCTTATGAGAGCCCTGGTTAAGTAGATTATCTGTGTCCCAAAAAGTTTCTATCATTTTGGCTAGTGCATCTATAGATGTGGATTTAGGCTCGTAGAATCTGCGAGCTTCTAGTGTGTTCAGCATATTTCCAACTCGTAACCCGCATATTTCACCCCAGGCACTATGGTATAAATCTTCAGTTCATGCTATAGCACATTTGCAATGGTTTAAGTTGTACAGTATGTTTTTGCATTTATTTGTAACTTCTGAATGATTGTCAAAGTTGAAATATTGAATTTTGTGTTGTCAGTAATTTGGTTTAAATGTGTTGGATGCAAGGATGTATCTTTTACTTGCAACTATTTTAACTACTATTAAAATGAAACTATGGTGGGACACATTCCCTTTTTGCACCACACAACAAAACAACTGCTGAAGTTTGGTACGTTTTGTAAATACGATTGCGCAAATTGCTAGGCAGATTGTTGTTAGATTCTAACTCACCTCCTTGGAGTAAAGTGTTTCATGACATGGAAATGTGATTAGAGAATAAAAATTCTTCTAAAGTTAGACATTTGTAGCTCATATATGATACCGAAACAAGAAACCGGAGTACCATACCATGCTACCTTACAGTTAGTAAGAGCTGATTCCCAGCATTAAGGGGTGTAATTTCCAACCATCAACAGATTTCTTATCTTCAACCTTCACCTCCTTTTCCTCTCTAGCTTATCTACCTCCCACTGCATCCTTTAAAATTTCGAACTCTAATCTCTCTGCAAATACTGTAAACTTAATTGCATCCTAGTTTTTCTTGTCCCATGCGGGATCCTCAATTTTGTAAACCTCCTCTGTGTCATTGCTGTTATTCAAACTTAGGTTTTCCTCCTTGGTACTCCTTGTCCTGGTAAGAAGTTTAAGCTGGATTTTTTTTTTCTCTACAAACATTGCAGAGAATCATTTGAATTGGATTGTCTTGGAATTCAATAAAACGTCGGGTTGATACTGCAACACTTTAAATAAATGCATTTCATGTTTTGTTGAAGACACCTGTTTATAGCACCGATACCTGAAACAAGCTTCTATGAAGTTGACATGGCCAATAATCTTTGGAAGCAATTTGAATAAGGAGTTAGTGCATGCCTAGACATTTATCAAGGACCACTTTCATGGGTTTCAAAGAGCAGGATTAAGGAAGGGTATTTATTTGCATAAGTGAAGAGATGAGAGACTTTCTCTGTCATGGTTAAATCTCAACTGCTGATTTTGTTTCCTTGAAAATCATAAAGTTTGGATGGGGAGAGGGACTTAGACAAATATGTTCTTTAAGCATTTAAAACTCTTGACAATTCACATTTTCGCATCTTAACCGCGACTTCTGCAAATGAGGAATTAGAAAAACATCAATAAGATTGAGAAGGAAGAACTTTGGCCATCATATTGCTAGTGTTGATGCTTTTTTATCTCTGATTGTGTTGCAGCAATTTCTGTGTTGATTTCCTTGCATGTGTACTTCTGTCAGACTGAAGTTCATTCATACGTATGACATGGCAATTTATCTTATCGTTTTCATTGTGTTGTTTAGTTGGTGTTTAGGACTATTGATTCTCCCAGTGTTCTCTCTGATTTCATTTGTCTACAATGTTATAGGTTGGGACAAAAGTTGCTGCGGTATCCAGAAAAATGAACACAACTACTCACGAAGTGTTGGGAGTAATGACTAAAGGAGTTACCCAAATTGTGAGTCCTTTGCTCTGAGATCTTTCTGTGTTTTCTTAACTAAGATAAATTGGTTATTAGTTTTAGGATTGTGTTTTATTTGCACCAGGTATCCACATGAATCTGAAGATCTTTCTTTCTTGTATAAGAGTAAAGAAACATCAGTATGACTGAAGAAAGTAATATAGCTTTGCTCTTGATAACAACGACAACAACAACAAATAGTTTCATAGCTTAGCTGGAAGTCGAGTATTAAACTGATTCAATTTGTTATTTATCATCACATTTTTGTATATGTGCTGGTTCAGTGCATTGAAGCCTCCTGCAGATGCAGGAGCCAGATAAGAGTTGGGTCACAAAGGTTTATTTGTGCATCCAAAATTTTCTTCTATTGGAGGCTCACATCTTAGCATATAAGGGAACTAAATTGATGCAATAGAAATTTCCCTAAGTCAGTTTTCATAATTTCTACATCTCATTTTGATTTCGTGAATATCATTGTTTTGTTGTAACCTTGTGATTAACGTTGACTGCAACTCTGAGTTCTTCAATATGTGATTCTTCTAAAGATCAAGAGTAAATTTTCAAAGATGGCTTGCTTGTGTCTTTGTCCACTGGCAATAGTTTTATATAACATTTTGTTTGCTCTAGTTTTTTGAGGATTATGAATAGATTAGATGTAGCATGTGATGTTATAGTATTATTATTATAAAATTATTTCTCATGAATATCAGTTTCCAGTGTTTTTTTGATACTCCAGGGCTGATGTTAAGGAAAAGTGGTTTCCCTTACAATGATATCAAAGTGCGCATGGAAAGTGCTTGGAGTTCAATTAGTTTATTTGATGTGCTGCTGGTCATTTTTGACGTTGATAGACATATCAAGAGGTCAATTTCTTTTTATTTAATAGGGTTAATATTCTGGAAGCAAAGGAAATCTTCTTTTACCCCACATATTTCTCTTAATTTCTAAATCTGGTTATTATTGAGATTTCTGGGAACTCGTACCACTTTAATATGGTAGTTTCAAGCTGTATTTTGTTATTTGGTTGTTCATCTTGGATTGTTGAAATAGCCTTTTATTTCTAACAATCACATAGCCTGTACAAATTCCCCATTTCAAATTTTGTTTCTTATTTTTTCCCGCTCACGGGGCTGTATCAGTTTTAGTCCTACTTTGAAACAGGCAATATGCTGATTTAGTATATGTACATATTTCATCAAATTTTATTTTTTTTTTCTTAATGGTCTGGCTAAAAAAAAAACTGAGTGCTACTCGCTAATATTTGATTTCGAATGTTTGATAATGGTCCTTATTTGACAAGATGTATGATGTAAGCCTTAGTTTGCACACAATTATTCCGTAGATTTTCCTGTTTGATACATGTCCAACTACTTTTTCCCTGTTAAATGATCTTCTGTTCTGTTATCTTCAATTAGGCCTGACTCCAGAGTGGTGAGATTGATTCAACGAATGGGTTCTCAAGTCAACCCAAATCAGAAACGTATATTATGCATGAATAAAGTTGACTTGGTTGAGAAACAGAAAGACTTGTTGAAGGTTGCTGAGGAATTTAAGGACCTTCCTGGATACGAAAGGTAATCAGTAAGCTGTCATGATTAGATCATTTGATTCAGTGCAGACAATAATTTTGATTCTCTCTCACTTTTCAATAATAGAAGGTAATGGGCTTTAGCTTATAACTCGTTTACCTATGTGCTGAATTGTTCTTATTAGGCACTTCATGATCTCGGGGCTAAAAGGATCCGGAGTGAAGGAACTGACGCAATATTTGATAGAACAGGCATGTTTTCTTTGTCACTTTCCTGGTTTTTCATCACTTTCTTGTTTCCATCTGTAACTTATGCTCGTTACTGGATCACTAAATGTTTCTCTATATATGACTATGATCATCTTTGCAATCATGCTTGACTGTTGGTTGCATTATCCCGTCAGTTATCTAATAATGATCATCTGAACTTAATGGCCATAGTTGGTTCCAGTTTCCTGTGTTTCCATGGCCGACAATAATAACTTCGTCTTTTAACAGACTCCTTGTGATAATGACCATTTCCTCAATTCATGCTTGATTGACCATTTTGTTACATGTAGTAGAAATGGTAATTTTTATGAATACAGTCATGACAATTTGCAAAAGCTCCTGATGTGTTTCTTGGCATTCTTGCTTCCAGTACTAGATTGTAGATGCAATTCGTGGCTTTGCAATTCATCGAATAGTGCTGTGTGGTCTTTTTTGAAATTTCTGATACTAACACCGAGTACCATTTCTGTCTTCTGACTTTAGTGAAAGAATGCAGTCAACGATTATGTAGCATTTCCTCCTGTTCTGTTGCTAAACATCTAAATTCCTCCTTTCCCTCGATTTGCATGATTAGGCAGTTGAAAAACCTTGGGAAGAAGATCCATTCACTCTGACTGAAGAAATCATGAAGAGGATATCACTGGAAGTGGTTCGGGAAAAATTATTACATCATGTACATCAGGTACTGCCTTTTACTTTGAATTGCTACCCCATAAAATTAAGCTCATTGAGGAAATTGTACTCTCTCTCTCTCTCTCTCTCTCTCTCTCTCTCTCTCTCTCACACACACACACACACACACCTACACCTGCAGGCACACGTGCATAGAACTTCTACAATTTATTGATTCAAAATGTTCTCATTTAGGAAATCCCTTACAACATTGAACATCGGTTGATGGATTGGAAGGAGTTGCGGGATGGTTCTCTGAGGATTGAGCAGCATTTTATAACACATAAAATGAGTCAACGCAAGATTCTGGTGGGGAAAAATGGTTCTAAAATAGGGTAAGGCTCGATAGATGAAAGATTTTACCACTTCTGGCTGGTAATTTTCTCTTTCTAGTTTGGTGTCTGACAACTGAGAGGACCACTTAATCTTTTTTCTAGAGCAATATGTTATTTTTAAATTTAGTATTCTAGAGTAAACAAGTAAGCTCCACAAACAACACAAACAGCTTGTAGCTTTGCCTTAGAGAAAAATGCCCCCAAAAAAAAATTGTCATTTTCATTGCAGTAGACATCAATGATAATGATATTTTATTAAACATTAAGTTCCATCAAATTTAGATGGAACAACGTGGAGTATTTCGCAGTCCTTGGGCGGTACTCATCAAGCAGTGGTTATTTACTGGCGTTTGAAAAATGTAAAAGCATTTGATGATGGCTTGTTGTATAACTTGATGATCTTGTGGCCGATGTAATTAAATATTCAGCTTTAAAATTTTGTTATATTACGTTCAATTTGTGTTAATATTTTATTTGAGTCGAAGGTTTCTTTTGCTGCTTTATGGGGCTGATGAAAACAATGATGTAATCCAAGGACTGATTTATCTGTTTGTTTCATATGTGATGCAGAAGAATAGGACTTGAAGCAAATGAAGAGTTAAGATCCATATTCAAGAAAAACGTCCATCTTGTCCTGATGGTTAGAGTCAAATGATGATGAGATCAATCGCTCTAGAGCCTTTTTGTTTCTTTGCATGAACTGCTTGACATGGTTGAGCTTGGGATAGAGGAGCAATTGCTGGATTTGCATATAATCATGCGTGGGAATTGGGAGTCTAGCTTGAAGTCGGTGGTTTATGGGACAAACAATTGGAAGAATCAATATTTATATGCACATCGTGAAGGAGATTGGATGGAACGAAGGCTGTTTCTCTATTCGATGGAGTTCCATATGCTCATGGCAAGCAACATGTTCTGCCTGCATCTTACTTTTTGGCACAGGCGCACAGCCAATGTTGCTTCATACTGTTAGCTTGATCCATGTCACAGACTTCCTTGGTGATCCTTATTTCCTTCCAGTGATGTCACAGACTTCCTTGGGAAACCTAGAGAAGACGGATGTTAGTAGATGGTGCGAGGGTCTGTGCCTGTGGTGACTGCTATCTTAATCTTGTAAAGTGACGTTGTAAATACGAATGTCCATTAGAAATGTCAAATTTATAAATTGTTAGATGAGATTTGGAGTTTGTTCCTACGGATCACCTTTTATTACTTTTGAGACCTTTTCACCTGAACAGGAAGAACACTGTTATCACTTGGTCATAGTTTTAATGGTAGTCGAAAGCCTCATTTGGCATATGATCCAACTACATATGACCATTTTACTGGTTAAAAATGCTACTGATTTTTCACAAAAATGGTCCATATTGTACAATTTATACCCACATGGACAACTTTTCATACGTTTAAATGAAGAAAATAAATTCATAGTTGATCATTACCAAATTTTCAAAGTAGAGAGAACAAGTCTGAACAACTTATAGCAGTAAAAAAACTCTCTATATTTCTAATCAATTAAAGAATAAATTTGTTTAGTCATATTTCAAAAAATAAAAAATAAAAAATTCTAGTCCTGACCAGTCCGAAAAACAAACAAAACGATAAAAAAAGTAAAATAATAAATTAATATAGGACCTGAAGATCTCATAAATTGATGTTTACCTAGAGTACCAAAAAGATAAAATTAAATGTAGTAAAGTATTAGGCTTATGAAGTTTTTTTTTTTCCCCTAAAATTTATATCTGATGATGAAAACATTGCATTCATTTCATTCAAAGTTAATAAAAGTCTACGCTTATGAGGTTTTGAGTATTACTGAATCAAAAAGAATAAAAGTCTACAAAAACGAAAATTAAAAAATTAAAATAAAATCTTTTATCAGTTTTAAGATAGTAGGTTTATCACTTATCAGTGTCTAATATATATCTTAATTACTTCTCAATATAACTAATCAATTATGGTTTTCGCATCAACTAAAATAAGGTAAGTAACTAAATGATTTTAATTTGATTTTTTTAAAACGAATGAAATTTTTAAGGCGTTACGTCAACATTGTTATCTAAATTTCAAAATCACCATTTGTAAACATCTTGTTATTCTACTTTTTTTTTTCTTTTTTGTCTTGTGAAAAATTATGTTACATTAAGGTAATGACAATTGGCAGATTACATCAAGATATTCGTAGTAGATTGATTACGTTGTGTATCACCGTATGAAGAAACTACCAGGATTGACATTTCTTCAATTAATACCCATAAGTGCATATTATTTGTCCATAAATTTTGTGATCCTATTTATAAATTTTCCCTTAAGTCTTGTGTATCTAATAACTTTTTAAAGATCTCTTCTTTTCTTTTTTCTTTTTTCCCCAAACGCTTTAGTACGCACAACCATGGAGTCCTTGACGGCTTTAGTTTTGTTAACTTTGGGTATTTTTTGCATCTTTTTCTTGCTGTTGAATTGGAATGAGATTAGATACGGGAGAAAAGGGTTGCCTCCTGGCACTATGGGATGGCCAGTTTTTGGTGAAACACTCAAATTTCTCCAGGAAGGACCAAATTTTATGAAAAAAAAGAGAGCAAGGTTAGATATCTCTTCATTTCTCTATTTGTGCAAAATGTTCCTCTGTGATGATTTACTGGTGAATGGATTACTTTGGTTTAAGATGTCCGGAAAATATTGTTGGTCATTCTTGGGCTCAGGTTATTAAGAATTAAGGTGTGAAAAAGTTATACACCAAGGAAAATAATTTACCGAACTTTGTGTCTCAATCGGTGTTGTCTACTTGCCATTTTATTAAATCACTGTTTTGCAAAATTTGCTGAGCATGCTGAAACAATTGAAATTCAATGGAGTAGCCCTCCTACCTTTGTATCTCAATTGGTGCTGGACTATACGAATAAGATCATCTTTGTAATTGGAGTGATGATAGAAACAGTAAGATCATCTTTGTAAAAACTGACATACAAATAAATTTAGTATGTTAATTTGGATGATTCTAGAATTTGATTGTATGTATCATTTTCTTTACCAATAAATAAATCAGATTCTCTCAAATTAATGATCATGCTGTCATAACATAGGGTTCGGATCATGCATTAGAACAATTGGTTGTACTGTAAATCAAGATATGATAGAAGTACATAATTATTCCATTCATTCCAAAATGTTTTGCTGAAATTTTCCTGTATTACTCTTTTTAATGCATCAAAACGGGATAAATTTTGAGATTAAATTTTTCCTTTTTCTCATAAACTTGATTAAGAGATTTGTCTTATATTTCTGTTCTGTAGATATGGCAATATTTTCAAATCTCACCTACTTGGAAGCCCAACAATTGTTTCAATGGACCCTGAGCTCAACAGATACATAATTCTGAATGAGTCGAAAGGGCTTGTACCTGGATATCCACAATCAATTGTAGACATATTAGGTAGACATAATATTGGTGCTGTAGCTGGAGGCAAACACAAGCAAATTAGAGGGGCAACCATGTTTCTTATTGGGCCTTCTGCAGTTAAAGAGCAATTGCTGCCCAAGATTAATAAGTATATTAGGCTCTTTCTTCAAGATTGGGAGGGCAAAACCATTGACATTCAAGCAAAAACCCAGGAGGTAATTAAATTTACATACAACGAGCCTTTTTCCCACAAAGAGATAATTGTCATTCAATTAGTTAAATGGTTCAGTTAATTATCATACCCGTATAGATTAAATCTCATCCGTATGAAGAATGACTTCAATCATTTGATTATTGACTGAATCATTGAGCAAGAAAATTATGTAATTTTCCTAATTTGAAAGTTAAATTGTAAGTTAATTTGACTTAAAATGGTTCATCTTCTTTGTGTTTAGATGGCGTTCTTCCTAGCGTTCAAGCAGATTTTGGAGGATGACGAGTCGAGTTTAGTTTATAAATCTATGAAAGAAGAATTTGAGCAATTGGTTGAAGGAACAATTTCGCTGCCCATCAAGCTTCCAGGCACAAATTATTATAGAGGATTACAGGTACACAAAATCATATATGCATGCTTTGTTTCCTTTAATATGATTTCAAATTCAATTTTAAATGTTAGATGTATTATTATATATATAATAAGTACGTATTTGATAATTTTTCGGTTTCATTTTAATAATGCATTTCATTAAACAACTGTATAATAAGGTTAAATAATAGATTATTAAAATAGGCCGGAGGTAGTACTTCTGAATGTAAAGTATATATAATACGAAGAAAGTTCTCTTGATAAGTGATTTGAAAATTTTGGGAACGCTTGCATGAGCATCGAATTTAATCAGTACTTATAGAATAGAGGGTTTTTATCTAGATAGATCTGCATTCAATTCTCATTGTGAAGAGATTCTTCCACATATTTATAAATGTGGGAAGGAGGGAAAAAAAACAAGAATTGCAAGCAGCATATTCTTTCCTGTAATAATATTACAAGAAAGAAATGATTTTGACGTTTATTAATGTTGCATCTTTCTTTCCATTTCCCTATATTTCATAAAAATGGTCCAAAAATGTAATATTATTCACAAAATGTAATATGAATTTTATTTTTTTTTGGGCGGGGGGTGGTAATGGTGTCAAATGGTAAGAGATTGTTTACTAGAGACATAGTCAAGCATTCATATATGATAGAGAAGAAAGTTGTTTTTTTTTTTTTTCCAATTAAGTCTCTTCAAATTAAGAGAAATGTTCCAATCCGTATAAAACTGATGACTAACTTGTTTTATTATTGATTTGAAGGCAAGGGAAAAAATTATCAAACTTCTGAAACAAATTATAAGCAGAAGAGTTTCCTCAACGACCTCGACTGAACACATTGACATGCTCAATTGGCTATTATCAAAGGATGATTCAATCAATTATAAACTCAACGATATTGAGATTTATGATCAGATAATAATGATCCTAAATTCTGGATATGAAACTGTGTCTACTACAACAATGATGGCTATCAAATATCTTGGTGATCATCCAAATGCTTTGGAGGAACTCCTGGTAAAATCAAACTGGTTAATGCGTTTAGTTTTTCAGGTTAATCACATTTATTTAGTGCACATTATGTTTACTTATTCTTTTAACAAAAAAAAAAAAAAAAAGAAGCAATTAATTGTTTTAATATATCTTCCTGAAATATGTACAAATAATAATACCTATATCAATATCTTGACTATATTTGCAGGATGAGCATATTATGATTCGTCAAGAGAAATCACCTGATGAGCCAATTGATTGGTTAGCTTACAAAAGAATGAGCTTCACTCGCGCCGTGAGTCATATAGCCTACAAGTTTATATTTTTAAAACTAAAATCGTACTTTCTCTGTCCAAAAAAATAATATACAATGAGTTTTGAAATTTGTATTAAAAATCGTACAAACCTCAAATCTCAATATAATTCTCTCGGAAAAATAGACTATATCATCATTTTTTTTAAAGGCGGATGGAGTATAAAAAGAGAAATTATGTTTTGATTCTGACCAATTTTGTCTTGTAGGTCATATTTGAGACAATGAGATTGGCTACCGTTGTAAATGGCCTAATGAGGAAGGCAACCAATGATATAGAGCTAAATGGTAAGGGTTTTCAAAATCTTTTTAAAAATAAGAAACGAAAACGAAAGTAATGATAAAAAGGATTCATATAAGTGCATAAGAATAATATTCACATAGTTTGTGTTTTTGAGATGAGATTTCTGGTCCAATACTTCCCTATAACAGTTGTGTTTCATTAATGTATATTATTATATTATTTATGGAATTATCTCATTTTTCTAATATAGCATGATTTTGTTTACAAAGGACAAAAATAAACGGACTAAGAATTTCATTTTGTGGTTTGGGTTAAGCACTATCAAGTTTCAAGGCACTTATATCTGACTCTTCTCTTCTTTTTCTTTCTTATGTTTTTCTTTCCTAAAAATTATGAATTGTGGCTCAGGTTTTTACATACCAAAAGGATGGAAAATCTATGCCTCCACAAGAGAAATTAATTATGATCCAATTCTGTATCCAGAACCATTCAAGTTCAATCCATGGAGATGGCTGCAAGTATGTTCAAATGTTTTTTTTTTTGTTTGTCTTTTCTTGACATGATAAAATAATTTATCAAGTTGACAAGAGTGACACAAATAGGATTTGTACTGCATAACATGATTATAACACAACAACTCAAATTGATATATACGTTAGTCCGAATCTAACTTTTTTGTGCGGTCTAATGTAGGATAAAGTCTTGGAGTCCCATAATTATCAATTCTTATTTGGAAGAGGAACTAGACTATGCCCAGGAAAGGAATTGGGGATAGTTACTATCTCTATGTTCCTTCATTATTTTGTAACCAAATACAGGTAATTACAATTTTAATTAACGTTCAATGAGAAAAGAGCTCCGAATATTTTTGTTTAAATTTTTTGGATATTACTTTTTTCATACAGGTGGGAAGAAATTGGTGAGCAGAAGATCAGTCAATTTCCAAGGGTTCAAGCGCCAAAGGGATTACACATAAGGGTTATGAAGCAACAATAATGGCCACATTGATGATTCTCCACTGATCTTCGACTTCTTCATCCGTCATATTATAATTCAATAAATATGTCAATTTTTTTTTAGAGGAAACGTGTATAATTGTATCAAATGGACAATTGTATGATACATATTTTGTGAACGTGATTTCCTACTTTTATATTTTCTAAATTAACCTTTTACATTTTAATTGTTTCATTTGTTCCCTAGTGTTTTTAAGCTTCAATTTTTTTGACCGCCAAGCGGCAATTGAAGAGGAAGCAATTTGTATATATTGTAGGGAGAATCCACGAGGATTGCATCGATGGGATTCTTCGCCTCCATGGCATAACTATGGCTTAACCATGATATTGTAGGGGTGACATACTCCCGTTTTGTTACCGCCTAGTTTGGTGGCTATGTATATATTACCCTTTTCCACCAAAAAAAAAAAAAGAAAGAAAAGAAGAAGAGGAAGCAATTTGTTAGCTTCAACGTCGTTCTCTGAACTAAAACATAATACAACAACACAGATGAAAGAAATCAAGGCTTGTATGATGCAAATGCATTGTTTAAAAGCTGTTATGGACAAAAATAGAAAGTGAGTGTGATTAGAAGGGCTAATCAACAATGCAAATGCATCCTCATTGGCAAGTCCAATAATCAAGAAAGAACAATATCATCACAAGGTCACCTAAGATTGAGAGGTACAATCATTCCCAAACAATCTTCCAAATCCAATAAATGATTACCGTTTTGATCAAATTCTAACACTTCCATCTCTTTGATGCCCAAAAAGTCCACAGTTGCCAAACGCCAACTTAGGTATGGCCAATAATTATGGACTTTCTCCTATTAAAAATATTAGCACATGTTGCAGAAAATACAACAAAAAACAAGTACAAATGTGATTCAAAACAACCTTCACACAACAATAAAATACAGAAAACATTTAACCGACTTCCATTTTGGATGCAACCAACCTTTATTTGTTGTAGGCAGCATTAAGTTATTACATACAGAAACTCAATAAAATATCACACAGCTTCAAGTTCTTGAATCTTTTAGGGAAGAAGGATTCTCCAAAAGCACTAATTCATCAATCCATGTTAGATTTCCTCTCCAACACGAAACTAACGTACCTAAGTCCAATGTTAGATTTTGGGACGAACAAAGTACATTTACAGCAAAGAAATGCAAGTTTTTGCCATCCATACTAATAGTAACATCAGATTTTACAAAGTCCTTAACTCATTGCTACTACATTACAGTGAGAGAAACATCAAACAAGTCTGCTTGTTTTTTCGCTTCATACACCTAAAACTTACACTAAATCTAACCAAAAATCTCTTCAGAATAATAAGAATAATCTGAACTCTTCTACATCTATTAGATGATGAAAATAAGTTAGCTCAACCTCAGCTTTCTGTCACTTTGGTCCACCAAGTTGCAAGAGCAATAAAGCAGCTGTACAATACAAATTTCTACTTGTCCTTTTTGACTTTCTTTGCTTCTAATTCTAGAGGGGGGAAAATAAAACAATTATTATTTTCCTCCTGGCGAAACTTCATCCTTGTTTCTGAAAAATCCCCTTTGACTTTGTAGTCTAATTGCCCAAAAAGATGGTGATTTTACACTATGAATCTCATGCTTCAATGGTGGAAGATTTTTTCCTTCTTTTTTTTTGGGCCAAAAGAATTCATGACTAAGTAAAAAAAAGCAATTTCAATTAATTTGTTAAAAAGGAAAAGCAAAACTAGCTAAAGGTCAAAGAATGAGTTGAAGAGATCATATGATGAAGAAAGAGACGGTGAAATCAAAGGCGATGAAAGTAAAAATGATGGGCTAGGGATAAACATGTTACTCCCGTTCAAAAATGGATCCGGAGCCGGCGAGAACAGTCCCGGAATCGATGCAGGTGGCAAAGTCGCCGGTTCCGGCGTCAATATCCCCGGAATTTGACCCGTTTCAAAGCTCGTCCCTTCAAGAATCTCCATCAAATCGTCAGCTTCATTGGCTGCCCTTTGTTGTCTCTCCCTTTCTCTTTCCGATGGGCTTACTAATTCTACAGAAGCTAACCTGGCAGCCGGAGATACATCCCCGGCGCCCGCGGTGGGCGTGTTTCCGGCACGGGGAGATGGGCCGGTGAGCCGTTGAACCAAGTTCATGAAGTCATTGACCGTTGTGTGTATGACCTTGGGAGAAACGGTGTAGATAACCACCGGTTGACGGTTGTTGTTGGCGGCGGCCGGAGGCGGAAGATGCGGCTGCTGAGGTGGGTGGTGGAGCTGGGGTGCTACCGGCGGTTTCCTGATCTTGTGGGAGTCTTTGTTGACTTTCAGTGGGGCTGGGCGTGGACCCTGAAGCTCTTTCCTCGGCGACGGCCGGCCTCCTCCGGTGAAAAACTCAGCTGGATCCATGCTGCGGCGGTGGTGGTGGAGGAGGATTTGGGTGTGAATTTTTGGAGATTTTTATTGAAATGGAGTGGTGGACTTGGAGGGGAACAGAAGTAAAAAGAGACAGCAAAAAAAAAGCAGTGGAAAAAGTCTTTGTGGGCTAATAAATGAGAAATACACCTACTTATTTATTTTGTACAAAAAATGATAAAATTATTATATAGCGTGTCTTTATATAGTGTTCATTTCCAGGAAAAATACTTTTACAACTTTGACAATTATGACTTGATATATGAATGGTCGACGGAGACATATGGGTATGCTTTTGTGGTGACCAAAAGTTTGTCATTGTCATTTGAAGTTTTGAACTACAAAATGAACTCCTTAACTATTCACCAATTCCAAATAGTATTGTTCAAACGATATATGTAAAAACTTTAGACAAGAGAACCAAATGTATCTTAGTTACTAGAATAGCATACTTTTATCTGGATATAAACTCGGTTCTATTCTCTCAAAGAGAATTTTCTTACATGTTTATAATATAAACAAACTACTCAAATCATCATTTACATTTGGCAAAAAAAACTTAATTTAGTCCACAACATTAATATTAGACTAGTTTAGTCCATTACAATTAGCGTTTTCAACTAATTTGGTCCATTAAGAGGTTGTTAGTTTGACCAATTCTAGATCAAGTCGACCTAGTCACTTTTGGTAATCAATATTCATTTTTTATTAGGATAAGGATAAAAAGGCCTCCGAGTTATGTCCTAAAACCTAATACCCCTCGAGTTTTTTTAAAGGACAACCCCTCCCCCCCCCCTCCTTTGACTGTTATAAATTTGAAGTCAATGGTCCATGGGTGTTAAAATGACAAAAACACCAAGATGGTTAAAACTATATTTTAAATCTAAAAATTTATAAATTGAATTTACAATTATACACAAAACTTATTTATTATTTTTTAAGTATAAAGACAAAAAAGACTCCGAATTATATTTATACTAGTGTTTACCCCGTGCGATGCACGGAAAATACACGATGGGTGTAAAATATGTTCGGTAGAGAGATGAGTGGTTTACATTTGTTAAATACTACTACCTCTGTCCCCAAAAAGTTACATATTGAATTTTTAAATTTATAATATTTTTAGTACAAATCTCAAAACTAAATTTGGACTTTTTTTTGGAACGAAGGGAGTGACAAACTTTAATAGAGTTTAACTATTATTAACGGGATCAAATTTAAAATTTGAAAAGAAAATCAATGGAGTTTAACTATTAATCTTTTTAAAAAAAAGTTCAAAATTTTCAAGTAATAAAATATTCACTAATATTTATTAAATTATGAAATAGTCAGTAAAATTTGAGATATTATTTAAATATGAAAGAAGATTAAAAATAAAAACATAATCACATTATTTTTTGACTTGGTCCGCCACAAATTTTATAAGTTATTTTCTTAATAGATATACCTAAATTTCAGAACGAAAATAGTTTTAAAGTAATGGTTCATTGTGTTTCTCAATTTCGTGCCACGTAAGCGTTTTTCATCTTCTATTAATATATATGTATATATATATATATATATATAGATTCCCTAATACTAAGTAATCACATTATCACTTTCAATGTTTGGAACTATAATAATTAGCTTATGAGTTACGTCTGGATGTTTATTTAACTTTTACTATGATTAGTATCATAACTATAGACAAATATTTTTAGTAAAAGAATAATTAATGTTTTTTCATAAATAAAAGATAATAATCTTGAAGAGAAATTTTAATTATACATAATGAAAATAGATATTACACATAATATATAATGAAACAATCAAATTTAGATTGTATGTATATATTGAAATATATAGATATCTTGTTATTTAATAGAATTTATTTATAAAAATTAGTTAGAGTTGAATTTGCAGGTTGATGTTGTTTTATACTCATAACTTAGTTCAAATTCAAGTATTTTAAATTAATTTACATTATGAAAATAAAAGTATTAAAAGAGCATCAAAATAAAAACTAATTTAAGAACAAAGATGAGAGGAAATAAAAAAAAAAGTATAAAAACATAGTCATAGAAAAAATAAGTAGTGTTCAATGATAAGTGATAAATGTGATAAGACTGTCACTTATTTTTTGCTAACAATTAATTTAGGTATTCAAACCCACTTAATTAGTTCAGACATTGTAATTAGTTATCAAATGACCTTAATTTATAAGTACTTAATTAGTTCAAGACTTAATTCATTAAGAGTTTTCAGTGATGATTATCAAACACACATCCATTTGATAATCACTTCCTCTGAAGTATGGAAAATTAGGGTCTGTTTGATAAAAATTAGTGCTTAATTCTGAATGCTTAACGCTGAATTAGAAATATTGAATCCATGAAATAGTTACGGAATAAGTAATAAGCTAACTTTTATTGTTTATATTTTGTACTGTAGTTCCAGTACCACTTAATTCATTAAGGGGTTCATCTTTTTGTTATCAAATATGCTGAAATAAAAATAATTTAATCCAATAATTTTAAGCATTATGGCTTTATCAAACAGGCCCTTAATATTTAACACTTCGTTTGATAATCACTTAATACATCACTTAATAATTTAAGTACTTATAAAATTAACTGTGTTTGATAATTACCACTGAAAATTATTAATGAATTAAGTTCCGAACTAATTAAGTGCTTATAAAGTAAGTGTATTTAATAACTGAAATTATACTGTCTAGATTAATTAAGTGTATCTGAATGGCTATTTCATCTGTGAGCCAGAGAATAAGTGATAGTTCCATCATTTAACACTTATCACTGAACACTACATTTCTGTAATGATTTTATTTCTTCTTTTTTTTGTTTGTTTGTTTGTTTTTGTGTTTGTTTGTTTGTTTTTTTTTTTTTTTTTTTTTTTTTGCTTTTCTCCCCTTGTCTTTCTTTTGACTCTTATTTTAACATTCTTTTAAAAAATTCAATTGTCTTAAGTTAATTAATTAAGAGCTTAAATTTGAATTTATATTATGAGTATAAATTTCTTAAAACTTGTAAACTCAACTCAAACTAATTTTAATATATAAATTTTTTTAATAATAAAATATACACATATTTTGAAATCTACAAATAATATAAATTTAGTTTTCTGGATATTTTACAAAGTGTAATATCTACTTAAATTTAGTTAAGTTAATATCAATTTCAAAAATTATATCTTACTATATTAGAAACAAAAACCACACTTTAGAGAAAGCACCACCATTTGCCATGTGGCATTTCCACATCATATTTTTAAAATAAATTTTTATTTACATATCTCCTAGACTTAAAAAGCAAATGCAGTCCAAATCCACCTTCACCTCCTATTTTCGCCAAAAAAAAAAAAAAACCATGTGTTCATAAAAAATTCAAATCCTCATCCCCATCTCCACGACAATTGACTCCCTAATCAATCCCTTCTCCACAATAAAAAAAAAAACAAATTTCTCATCAATCATCAATTGAGAATATGTGATGAAATATATTCATTTCCTATTAGCATATTAAATTTTTTCATTGGTGATGATCAACTAAATCTTAATCTGATAAAATTTCGAGTTCAAAAAATATTCTCTTTACCTCACTATATAAAACAAAGGAAAAAAAATTCTCATTGATCTTGCTTCGGCCATTATGGTGGTGCCATTACAGGTATTAAAATTTAAATGATTTTATTTCAGCAGATCATTTGTTTCGCTTTTATTATTTTTTGTTTTTCCCGTTCAAGAATAGTGTTATTACTATTATTTTTATGCGTTCATCCGTTACAGCTACCGTATTCGCTGTTAAGTAATATGATGCGATTTCTTATATGGTTAGTTAGCCTAGAATTTTTGTATGATTTTAGTTCTGTTTGTATTGAATTGATTAATTGGGTTTTTGTTACAAAGTGTGGTTTTTTAAATTTGTTTCTTATGTTTCATTCAATTAGATTGATTTTCTTTTTTTAATTATGGAGTCTCAGGTTTTTTTTCGTATATGGTCAGTTATGAAGTGTGTTTTTTCTTTGTTTAATTGCTTTTGATTTTGTTTCATACTCCCAGTTGACCAATTATTATTATTTTATTTTATTTACAAATGAATCGCTTTTTTTTGTGTTCGGTCTTTCAAGAATATACTTTTTTTGGGATTTGGTTTTTGGACTTTTTTTAGTTCCTTATCATATAAATACTTCAGGTCGCTTCTTCTAACTAATTTATGGGGAAGCTTTTTATGAATTTGAGGTGGAGAGGGAATGAATGATTTTTCTACGTTTATTTGTGTTTATACATCATTTTTACCTACAGAAAAAAATAAATTTCTGAATTTTTAATGGGCTATCTTTTACTCTTTTTTTTTTTTAATTTGCCATGGTGAGGTGAGTTGTTTTTTGCTATAACTTGAAACCTATGTAAATCTACATTATTTTTATTCTCATATTTGTGATCAACCAATTTCAACAATTAACCAGTTTCAAAATCATATTTTTGATATTTTACTACCTATAAACTTTTGGAAGAAATAGTTTCAACAATTAAGCGTATACCCTTTGGAAGAAGCTTACTACAAAGCTATTATAAATCTCCAAAACTAAGTATTGATTTGACACAACCAATGGAGAACATCAATAAATTATCTTACTAATATTTAAACTTATAAGGATGCTTTTATATTTTGTCTTGCATTTACTTCAAGACATATATTTGATCAAGTTTATTTATATTTAAGAAGTAACACTTATAAAATATTTTAAAATCTTCAAACATTTCTAAAACGTACCGGGCCAAATACAATTTCTTTTTATGCCAAATACGAACATTTCTGTGATCACACTTATAAAATATTTCTAAATTCTTCAAACATTTCTAAAATATATCGACCCAAATACAAAATAAATTTTTTTTCTTCAGATATAAATATTTCTAAAATCTACAAATATATTGGGCCATCACTAGTAATATACAGACCTGAATATTTCAGTCTTCAGACATCAAAATCAGATGTTTTCATAAAACAATTTGAATTCAGTGTTCAGCGCAATTGCATTTTCTAATCTACTAATCCAAAAGAGACCGAGACTAGAAAAGTGTTGGAGCAGTTGGTGGATATCTCGGATGATTGGAAAAGCTGATGGCGAACCTTCGATATCACCACGAGCAATTACAAT